TATATATATATATATATATATATGTCAAATTTTTATGATATATTTAAATTTATATTTTATTTAAAAATAAAAACATCATCGTTTTTTTCAAAATCACATAAGAACATACATATAACATCGTTTGAGATAAAAAATAAAATAAAATATTAAAATCAAGATTTATCTCACTGTATTACACGAGTACCCTTCTAGTATAATAATAATAATACTGATTTGAGGTGATTGGAAAATCTTAAAAAAAAAAAAAAAAAGGGTAAGTGAAAGCAACCGATACAATATTGGAGACGTTTATTCATATGCACCACGGCTCTTACAACCCACCAATGGCCGGCCTCTCCGAATCCCTAAACATACCCCTATAAATAAATATAATATAAATAAAGATTATAACTTAAACTATATATTTATTATTGTTAATTATTTGAGAGCCTCAAATTATGAAAACTATTTTTGTAAAGTGTTGTTTCTTATAAACTTTATTATATAAATTTAAAATTTAATATATTAGTTAATATAATATTTATTTATGATATGTTTGTTTCGCATGTGAAATATAACACATGATACACTGATTCTTAAAATTATCACAATTTTATCCTAAAATATTATTTTACATAATTTTTTCCATCTAGAGTTAGAATTTAATATATTAATATATATATATATATATGTATATATATATATATGTATATATATATATTATAAAACATTTAGTTAAATTTTTAAAAACCATTTTAATGTATCAAGTACTATTTAATGATGTATATTACTTAAATTCAAGGTTATAAATAAATTATGCATGAGTACAACTTATAAATCTATATGTTTTGAATTCATATAACTTTATATGTTTTATCCATGTTTCTTTTGGTATTCATAGATGTTCAGGTTGATTTATATAAACATCGATTAATTTTATTTAAATCTAAATTACTGTATCATTTTTAAATAAAATAATATTACTTTTTTTTTAATTATAGTAACATTATTTTTGCCGATGACAAGATCATGAGAAGCCATAATCGAGTGGATTAGCAACATTTTTACGAGTTAGATTATTTTAAACAATTAAACTTAAATATAAAAATACATAAAATCACATCAAAATTTTGGATTGGAATAATAAACTAAGATAGATATTTTATTTTTATTAATACAATATTTTTGAATAATATTTGATAAAAGAAAATATACTTATGCGTCCATATAAGTTATCATAATTAAATTGCTCTCATACATTCAATATTGAAACAGGATGCAGACGAAATGATCATGACCATTCAATTCATCTCTTGCAAAAGAGGATAAACTAAGAAAAACAAAAAAAATTGTCTTTTATTGATTCATTCGTAGTAACTCATAAAATGATAAATAATATACATTGATAACGTCACGTCTTTTTAACCACACAAACTAGAGCTTAAATTATATGACATGTGATGTGTCATATAGGTTCAAATTATTGTTTGCTTTTATTAATCGGAAATACTGATACTGGTTCATTTTTTTTTTAAATAATACTCGTTACTATTTATAAAATAGTGGAAAATCTCTTTCAATATGTACCAAATTGAAGTGACGAAAGCTTCCATTATCGGTTCATCAGGTCACCTAATACTCTACTGGATAATTATAAATTATATTAACCGTTCTCAAACGTTATATGTAATGAATTCATGTCGTCTAGTGATTTAAAATTATTAATTATGTCGCAAGTTATAAATCATGTTCGAAAATAAAATACTAAGTATTTTATTAACAAAAATTAACAAAATAAAAGAAAAAATTAATTTATTTATTTTCTGGTTCCAAAACCCAGGAAACTACGCCGAAATTGAAAAACGAATCACCATCGAACTTTCATTTTCCCCTCCTTACAAAAACCAAAATATGAGACGGAGGGAAATCCTGTGCCGGTGATCTACAAAAGTCGCCGGAATCTAAAATCCGGCATAACATATTTCCTTCCTGTAAATCAAAATCGACGGTCGAACTCATCATTTGAACAGATTCAATAGATGCACTTCTCCTCCTCCTTGAATATAACTATACTCACCGAAGCCGCCGTCCAAACACGTTGTAGTCACGGAGTCTTCAGAATTCATAGACGGACTTCCCTGCCGCCGTTTCTCTGGCGAGCCTTTAACCGCCGGAAAACTCTGGTTTAGATTGAGATCGAGATCTTGTGATTGTGTCATGTTTGATGGCGGCTCACAGGCTCGTCGGCGCCTCTGCACCTTCGATCGCGGATGTGTGACCGGATCCTGAAGCTTGAGTATGTCAGGGAAGGTTGCATCTGTTTGAAACGAATCGCCAAGTTTTGGCATCGTTGGAAATCCATCATTGAGCTCAGGGATCGGCCGTAACGTACCTCCTCGGAGGACTGTATCCACCGATGCCTGGCACACGTGCCAGTTCCCTGTCCATAAAAGTCCGACGGCACCGTTCACTGGATTCACGGTCCGACCGGCAGCTTCAAACAATAGCGATTGAAAAAGAGCTGTAGGTGCAAAATTTCAGCGATCAGTTATCAACTAATTAGGAAGGAAAGTAGCATTCAATTTGTCATGCACTAGTTATTTCATTTAGGTCACAGTTTTGTAAATGAAAATTAAGCAGAGTGTGGTGGTTTAATTACATGGACGTTGATTTTCCGGTACGGCAGAGATGAAGGACATGAGACCGGCACGGCCGAAGAATTTAGCCACAAAAACAGTGGCGTGACCTTGAGCTTCAGGAGTATCAATCCACTGCAAACAGGGGCGGAGAATACAGTTGTCACTGCAGCCCTTCCGAAGGACTCGGCATCCATTGCAGCTCATGGTTGAAAGGAAAGGCCAGTTAACCAAGTGATGTTTTGCCGACAGACAGAGAGGGTGGGGTTTCGAGGCGGAGAAATGAAACCGTAGAAAGAAAGAGGGAAAATTGAGGTTAGAGGGGGATTGGGTGGTATAAGTAAAGGGAGAGTTGATGGGGTTAAGTTAACCATGGTTTGGTTAGGTTAAACAGTAGACAGTGGGTTGAGATTCCAAAGTATTGGGCGAGAGCGGCTCCGTGTTTTCGCGGATTTACCTGTTCTTCTTTCTTCAACTGCTTCCTGGATGGATCATATTTTTGATGCTCTTTTCACTTTCATAACACTTTGGTTTCCAAAACAAATTACATTTTCAAACATATATATATATATAGGAATATATTCTGTTTGTACGATGCAAGTATAAGGATTGATTTGATATAATGATTTAATATATATTTCATTTTTAACTAAATATTTAAAAATATAAAATACATTAACGTTATGAAAAAATATTGTAGCCGATTGTCTAACCACTTAATCATAACCGGTCTTGGTGGAGCCCGTTAAAGAGGTCAGACCATGGATCACATCGCTTGATCTATGATCTATGTGTATGCAGTGGCGGATCCATGATTTTTGACTATTGGGTCACCATTAAGCAATGGCGGATCCAAAAATTTTGTTCAGTGGAGTTACCTTTAAGGTATACTAAAGTCCCGTAATCGTCCGATGTGTTTTTAACCTAATTACAACGTTTCTAGGGATTTTTAAAGTTTTTGGTTGATTTCGAGAAATTTTTAGTGTTTTTGTCGATTTCGAATAATTTTTTTGGTTTTTTTGATTGATTTCAATAGACTTTTTTTGGTTAGAGTAACGGTTTTGATTGAGGTTGGGACCCGTGGAAAAATGTAATTTGGGAAGTGAAAGGTAAATCATGTAAAACATAGGAATTTTGTTTTTTGAGTTTTTGATTGAGGTCCCCCTCCCCCCCGCGCTCCCCGCTCCCCGCTATTGCATCCGCCCCTGCTTTTAAGGTAGATTAAAGGTCCGCAAAGTCGTCCGACGTGCTTTTAACCTAATTACAATGTGTAGAGGGATTTTTAAAGTTTTTTTTTGTTGATTTCGAGGGATTTTTTCGTGTTTTTGTCGATTTCTAAGTACTTTTTCGGTTTTTCTGATTGATTCCAATAGGCTTTTCCGGTTTTTTGGTTGATTTCAAGAGTCGGCGATGATCGGCTAGGGTTGTGGGGTCCCTTATAAAAATTTACTGGGGGAAAAAAGTTTAAAAAAAAATACTTTTAACCCTTGTAATTTTGTTTTTTAATGGGGTCCTTTCCCCCTCTCCTTCCTAATTAAGTCTGCCACGGTGTGTATGTATAGTAAACATTCGGACCTTCGTGTCAGTTTAGTGGAGGGTTATAAAGCCCCACGTATGGACCAATTTGTGTTTCAAATGGTCTAATTGATTGTGCCGATCGGTTACGTAACTGACTTGATTGGTTAAAGCCGTAACGGATCATGGTTCATGTCCAATTTCAGTTAATCGGACCCGTGTATAAAATATGGTCCCCTTTCCTCATGTTGGTTGTGTGTATGATGGTTTGCGTTAGCATGATTCGATGGTGTTTATATATAAAATATTTTAATATCAATAAAGTAATAAATGAGGAACAATGAAATATGCTCTAATAAATAAAGTGAGAGATTGAATAGTATATTATAAACCGGATAATTCACTTAAAATATATTTATAAAATAATAAAGTTATATAAATTAACATTATTATTCATTAATTAACTAAAATCTCCTTAAATTAGTAAATTTAATGGTCCAAATTGCATTAATTAATAAAATTTCAGCTGTTTATTAAAAAAAAATTTGATTAACCTGGATATTCAACCCGCTATGCGAGCCGACTAATTCTAGGGTGACTATCTACTCAAAGGTAGCTCGGAATCATCACATTTGAACCTCCATGGCCATAAGGGGATTTTTGTTTCTTCTAGGATTTGAACCTGGGACCTCTAGACACTTTTGACTTTTAGAGTCAAACTCAAACCAATCAAGCACGACACTTAAATTTGATACATGTCTTCAAATGAGTGGATATGCTATATTTTATCGGTATTAAACCACTCCACCTTTCGTTTGCTCTATTTATCATCGAACTATAACTCTTTATGAATTAGAGATTTTGTACTTAATATTTCAGATATCTTCCACTCTTGAAATTCAGTTGTCTTCAGAGTTTTACATCATATATGTTCTATTCTCCCAGTAGGTTTTGATGTATTTTGTTGTACCCATTGGTTTTAATTTTATTTTTATACCGTTTTTCAGAAGGAAAAAAAATATGGTATAGATATATATAAAGTGTAAACAAATAAATGCATATCATTAACATGCAACCAGAAAAGCCGTATATCACCATAGTCATCAACTTGCAACCAGAGGGCCATCTCAAGACTTCAGTTGAAAGCCGTTAAATGAAATGTGTGCGACCCTGTTTCATTTTGGTCACTAGTTAGGGTTGGTGCTCCATGTGGCACCGAACGTTGTTTTGTATTCACAACTATATTTTAGATAAAATATTATATCTTGATATTAGATTACAAATTGGTCACTAGCATAAGATGTCAGTATTCTTTTACATTCAAGTCTAACTCATCAGAGGTTATTCGTCATACGTCTAAAAACCTATAAAAAATCCCAACAAATTACTTACAGACTTATAAATTTGTGTTTATATTTATTGGTATGTAATTTTGGTGGGGTTAATAAAATTTAAGGGCATCTTATGAACATAAATACATTGCAGAGTTGTTGATAAGTTAAATCTATGTACAAGTTGTAAGAAGACGACATAAACATGTTGGTCATAAAGTCAAAGGAAATACATGGATCCCATCCAAGGACTCCACCACCAACCGAACATGTACATATTTTACTCCACTTTTCTAATATAAAAAACTATAAAAATAACTCTTAAATAATATTAACATATTTTGGTAAAAATGTAAAATTAAATAATTTATAAATAATCAAAGTAAAAGACGAAAAATATTATATCTGTCCTTCTCAAGAAGATAAAAAATTTCATTTAGAAAGTGGAAGGTGCAAAGAGATCTCCAATAATGCACCTGTGTCCGCGTTCCCGAAGGCATCCCTCTCTTTCAAGAGGATTTGCGGCATGTCAAGTCCTAGTACGGTTCTTTGCTTTGCATCGACTTAAACCACATGTTCCACCGCTTGTACGGACCTCCGTCAATTCTTTTGTGTTTCATTCTTGTGAATATCTTATACTTTCAAGTATTTTTACTATTTAATAATAATTGTAGTAAATTTATACAACTATGCTTATCTAAACTTAAAAGTCTTTTTTATAAAATTGGGTATCGATTTTAGAATATATTAGAATGGTACTCGTACAATGCAGCGTAATAAATCTTAATTTTAATGTTTAGTTTTTAATCTTTGTCTCTACCGATATAATACGATTTTATGTGGTTTTGAGAAACCGGTAATGTTTTTATTTTTGAATGAAATATAAATTTGAAGATAAAATAAAATTTTAAAAATAAATAAATCGATATTAGTATCAAATTAACTATTTGATAGTTCTCGATTTTTTGGTGTAACTACTTTAATTCAATTTTTTTATTATAATTTAAATTAAATTTAATAATAAAGTAATTTATTTTTGGTTTAATAATATAATCTTTTATAAATAATAATTAAACATTCTGTTAGAATTTAATGATTACCTTAATTATATTTTACATTTTTTATATTTAAAATGGATGTTTATCCTGTATTTGATTATGTTTATGTACACTTACTTACACAAATTTAAAAATGAAACTTTAATAAGTTGTACTTACACAAAATTACTTGTAATCTTGAATTTTAAATAATATGCATCAATAACCAGTACTTCATGCATAAAAATGGTTTTTAAGAGTTTTTGTCAAATGCTTTATAATATAACTAGAAAAGTACTCGCACAATGCAGTGATATACATCTTGATTTTAATATTTCGTTTTATTCGTTATCTCAGTCGATGTTATAATATGGTCTTATATGATTTTGAAAAAACGATAATATTTTTATTTTTGAATAAAATATATATTAAAAAATATTATAAAAATTTGACAAAAATATATCGATATTAGTATCAAATTAACTATTTAACCAAATTCTCGTTTTATGTGTAATTTTTTAATTTAATTTCTTTATTATAATTTAATTAGGTTTAATAACGAAGTAATTTATTTGGTTTTATAATATAATTTTTTATAAAGATAATAATTAATTATATTGTTAGAACTCAATAATTATCTTAATTATATTTTAAAATGAGATGTGTATTCTTTATTTGATTATGTTTATCTGCAGTTAGTTACACGAATTCAAATATGAAGCTTTAATAAGTTGTACTTACATTGTAATCTTGATTTATAAGAAATATGCATTAATAGACAGTACTTCATGCATAAAAAATGGTTTTTAAGAGTTTCTGTCAAATGTTTTATAATATAGTATAGATGTAGATAAAACTAATTTTTTAAAAAATATATTTAAAATATTTTGGTCTATATTTTGCAACATATTTTCTATTTCAACAGGTTTTTTAAAATAGAGAAATTGAATATTTTGTTCTATATTTACCACAACATATTTTTTGTAGTGTTCGCTAAAACAGAGAAATTAGAAGTCAATATTGGGAAGGATGAAGGAAGCATTAAGTAAAAGAATTTTCAACGAAGTGAATGTGGGAAAGGATGAAGTTGAAGTCTCGCATTAAAAATACGCCGATGGCATCATCTTCTTTGGTGAAGGGTCAAGAAGTAATGCTCGAAACTTACTCGGCATTCTAAAATGTTTCCAATGGGCATAGCGCATGAAGGTAAACCTCGATAAAAGCAAAATTTTAGGGTTGGGGGTGCAACAAAGTGAAGTAGTCTCATTGGTCGCTTGGTTAGGCTGTCGGGGTAGTACATTTCCGTTCTAGTACCTACGTCTGCCGGTTGGTGCAAATATGCGGCGTATCCATAATTGGGATCCGGTGATGGAAAAACTCTCCATGGGTTTGGTGAGTTGGAAGGCGAAAACAATGCCTTTCTTCTCTGTTTCATACGTCGTCGAGTGTGTTGAGTTCACTTGAGAGAATGAAGAGGGAGTTCTTTTAGGGGTTTGAATGGAGGTAAAATGGCATGGGTGAAATGGTCTACGATTCTA